GCTGGCTGAGACCGTTCAGTCCGAACTCAACATCTTGACAGGCTGTTTTAAGAGAGTCCATTGTGTCACGTTCGGAGCTCCACCTGTTAGTCTCTTGCCGCTACAGAAGCCCGAGACTGCTGATGGACGACTTCGTAAGTGCCTGTTCCACTCATTTATGAACGAAGGCGACCCTGTGGTGAGGGCCGAAAGGGCATATGTGAAAAGTCTTGTTGACCTCCTATCGCGACCAATCCCATCATTACCAGCTTTTGAGCCAAAGCAGTGCTCGGTGTCGACACTGACCGCTCTGGGAGCGTCTATGTCGAGACTAGATCTCTCGCTGATCCCCGCCCCAAAGAAACAGTCGAAACCCAAGCCCCCAAAATCAAAACCGCCGTCTCTTCCACTCAGGAAGCTCTGGTGGGACGTCCCTCCCGCAACGCTGTCGAATGCAGGTCGTCTTGTGGTGCTCCGTATCCCGGACCGTCCTGGTGCGAATGAAGCGGACGTGACCGCATCTCTGGTCAAGGATGAGCAACTGCGACAAGTGATCTTTGGAGATCCTCTAGTGCACTCGATGAACCTGTATGCGAGAAGAATCGAGACTCTGGCTTTCCGCGCGGTGACGGGGCGCGGTGGAGCATGTTGACACGAGCCTCTCTCAAAGAGAAGGGAAGAGAAGAGAATCGGGAACCCGTTTCATCAGAATATGCAACAACCAAATGATCCATTGTTCAGGATAACCTGCATTATCTATTTGGATGGGAGTATCAAGAAATTCACTAACCTAATGTCCTTATACATGTAACGTACGAGTCTATGTCTTGACGAAGCACGGCGTGGTTGGAATGGAATGCCGACGGAACTCAATGCAGCATATTTAATCAAGTATTCGTCCCTCCTATGAATCAACACTACAGACATGACAGATCCTCTCATCTTGAAAAAAGAAACCCAGCCATATTCCGGGAATCTTTCATTGCGACTTGTAGAGCCCTTTGATTTCCCAGGTTTGCGAGACTGCAGGTTTCGGGGCTTTTGCGCTACACTATAACTCTACGTAGCGAGATATACAGCTACATAGAAATATAGTTAAAGGAGTATCTCGCGCGTACGTTTTCCCACCCTGAGTTATACGCACCTCAATTCATACATCTGTGCGTACCGTACCGAGGTACGATGCATGCGTGTTGCTATACTGTGCCATGTTCTTTAGGTGTCCCAAAAGGTGCACCGTCTCTCCGCCTTGGGGCAAGGAAACGAGGCTGACATTCCACGCCCTCGCCCGCGCCTCGCCATGTACATCCTGCACACACACAGGTAATTAGATAATTAGGCAATAGTGGCAATTAGGCAGCCAGGCTCGTCACACCTCGTGGCGCTCCATACTCACTGTCACATTGCCATGTATCTATGTATCAGATCAGGTTATTCCGTCCGTCCGTCTCTCCATACGTACGTACGCACGTACCTATCTACCCACCTACCAACCCAAGGACCCAGAGAAAGGGGGTGACCGAATGACCGAGTAACTGCGCGGCTGAGCAGCTGCGCCCTCCAGCAGGACAAGGCGTACTGCGGACACACGAATCTCAATCAATCAACAATACTCCGCAGACGGGACGCGATGCTACACCCCCCCACAAGGGCGAAGGATGGAATGGATATGTCTGTATGAAGGGAAATCTCAGTTTCCCATGCTGGGTGCCATGCTCACAGAACATGCACGTCGTGACATCTTGACGTTCTGACAAACGCGGAGACGGTATGTGCAAGGGAAACAAGGGTACATACATGTGTTTTTACAAAGCGCATCCAATCGAAGTCCTGACCGGGGGTGACAATGGAGACCCAAGGGTAAGGTGAGGTCGCCAAGTCCTTTTGTGTAACTCCCAGCTTCTTCTCCTTCGTTTATCCATCCAATCCCTGCCAACACGAAGCAAGCCTAGTCTTTTTATATTGTTACACAGAGAGGGGGGGAAATCAAAAAAATAGCGCTGCTAATGTACGAGGTAACATGCAATGCAATGCATGGATCTTTTACAGATAACTTTCCACCACCTCCTAAAAACAACTTGGACCCACTGAGACCCAACGACGCGGGACCCTCCCAAGCCCAAGGAGAACGAAACAACGGGCAGAAGGGAGAAAACCTGCTTTTTCTACCGAAAAGTGATCATCAAACAACGCCACACGTATTATTTCCATTATTTTTTTTTGCCGGCCCCCCTCTCCCTTTCTCCGCTTTCTCTCAATTCGACTCAAAACAGTGGGTATCGGTGTGGATCAGGAATGTGAAATATGTACTCGGTACAAATACAATGCCGGGCTCGTGTATCGACAGACTTTCAGTGGACCCCTCCCTGCCCAAGTCTGAATATTTCCCGCGTGGCTCGTGTGCCTGTTGAAATTGATCAACCGAAAAGAAACGAGGTGATAGACAAGCGCTAGTCAACTTTTCCTTAGCCTCTCTGAAACACCGTTCGCCAGACAAAGTGCGTAAAGGGTGATGGTGGCTGTCGTGGTCTGGGCCTCTTGCTGTCTAGAATGCTCGGATACAGACAATAACATACGGATAAGCCAAAGCCAAAGGCATACATTTGAGACGGCCATGCATGTCGACGCTTTGAGCTGCCTGCACCCAACTAAAGTAAGGAACGGCTGGAATTCACAGCCCAACAAACTTGGACTTCCGGGAACCTGGCGGTCCCCAATTCGCATTTCTGGGATGTCGGTTTAATAGCTGAGTTCTGTATTGGTGTAGCGATGATGGCCTTGGCTTCGACGAAACTTGTGGCGCATGGAGCGATGATCGAGACGGTGAGCGGTTCCGAGACATAGGGGGTTTCACATTAGGCATCTTCACCTGAATACTCTCGGCTCTTTGAGATCGACTGCATGACTCAATCAATTCCGTGTCCACGCCGCCAACCCGTTTCGTTCGGGCTTCTAGCGTGGCGCCTGAGTGATCTCCCGGACTGGGATTCATGGCATTAGACTCGGCATTCACTTCTGTTTCGGCCTGTCCTCGTGATGGTAGGTTTGAAATGTCGGAACTCGAGGCTTGCGATAGGGAATTCGATAGGTTCACCGCGTGTTGATCCTCCTGTTCTGGATCCATTCGATGATTGATCTCAATGGAGGCGGAAATGTCTTCCTCTCCCAGCGGCTCAGAAAGCTCCAACTGAGCGGCTGTGTCAATATTTTCAGGGTCCAAGGGTCGTGTTTCATCTTCGGCTGATTGAGTCGTAGCATCTGCCGGCGTCAGGGCTTCACCACTCCTCGACTCGTTGATAATCTCGATGGTCTCTTGAGGAGATGTTCGGACGGGGCTCGAGTTGTTCGTAGTGGGTATTGGGGCGTGACCCGTGTCGCGCTCTGCACTACTTTGTTGAGGTATTCGACCTGATGCAGTGGGTTCTCCAGGTGTGTCTTGTTCTGGGCCCCGGTTCTGTGGCTTCGAGGTTCTTGTCATGTCCGACCCCGACATTGGGCGGTCGTCGCCCTCGTTAACATTCCTGAGTATTCTCCGTGTTTTGCGTTTCGTGCGCTGTAGCGAAGAATTCGGCACTCCCCAGACTTGTTGTGCAGCAACGGAGCTGCTGACCACTTCGGGCGCGGAGTCATCATCCGACTCCTCTTCACCGCCTTGATCAGCAGCACCTGAACGCTGCTCCTTGAGAATACTCGCCTCTGGCATCACTTCCTCCAGGCTTCCGCTAGAGAACCGCCGTCTTTTGGGAGTGGATGCCGATGCGATGGATGGTGACACAGGGCGCTTCGAGCGGTCCGCAAGCGTAGTCTGTACATCTCGACCATCTTGGGGTATTTTTTCCGGAGCCTCCCTACCGTCGGCTTGCACAGTTTTGGCTGCATCATGGGACGAGGTGCCCTCGAGCCCGTCTGATACAAAGGGAATGCCGACATTCGCAGACCGGCTCTGCGAGATTATCTGTCCCATTTCGTTGCGTTGGTATTGTGGTCCCTCCTGACGAATAAGATTTGGCGTTATCCCTTGATTCGGTGCTATATTTATGACGACTTCAATCTTGTTCTTCTTCACTGGTGGGCCAAGACTGGTCTCGCGGGCAGGAATACTCGCAGAGGGTGTCTTGGGTTTCCTGGTCGGCGTTATTCCAGCATCGGGTGACCACGCCGAATCTGCTTCTGCTAGAGGAAAGGGCGAGGTAAAAGAAGCTTTCTTGCGTTCCTGAGACCTGGTAGTCACCATTTTTGTTGTACGTGGTGGTGAGTAGCAGGATTGATATCCCAACGAAAAAAAAAGTGAAAAGGAGCACAAATTTCAAGTTTGGAGATCTTGAAGCGACTATGCCATCTTATCTTATCTTGCCCCTCGGCTTACAGCTATACATAATTTTGGTGAAGTCGTGCTTCTCTCTCAACAAGCGACAACAGGCGTGATGTTAGATGTTCCGCACGTGTATGTCGTTGTGTTGAGATGATCTTGGCTAAGAATATCGGAAGGCAAGTCCGTTTGTCATTTCTTGGTCATTTGCCATCCACTATTGGGCCACGTGACGCGAACCAACATTTCTTCCCATCTCTCCCACTTTTGGACCCGTACGTTGCTGGGGCTTGCAATAGTATCCGTCATGTATTCGCTGCTACTCAACACGCAATCACCACTCTACCAGATACAGATATGTGTATCAGGCGAGCTTCGGCATGTTGTCCGCGGAAATGGATATGATCACCAAATCCCCATCGGCACGACGTCCGCGTCCTGCAAAGATGACATTGATCAACTGGAAATTGGAGAACAGATGGGCTGACAAAAGGCGGGGCACAAGCAGAGAGCCAGCGACACCAGCTTAAACACCACTTCCCTCAATTCATGCATATGGAACACATTCCCAGACCAGGCATTGAACTTGTCTCTTGAATAATACATTCTACTGGCAACCTCACAGGACAGTATCTATCCTTTGTGAGATATCACGCTCTCAACTGTCCATCGTCATCTCTGACAGGGGTTAGGGAAGATCAACCGTAACGTCATGACCTCAGTGTCCAGAGTCAAATCGCTCGATCACCTAGTCTTGACCGTCAGGGACATTAACGCCACCATCAAATTTTACCAGGATGTCTGCGGCATGGTGCACACCTCTTTCACTGCCCCAACGGACCCCAGCATCACTCGGCACGCCCTGAACTTTGGCATCCAGAAAATTAACCTACACCAAAGTGGAAAAGAGTTTGAGCCGAAAGCGGAGCATGTACAGCCGGGGAGCGGCGACCTGTGCTTCCTGGTCGAGGACGATGTTGAAAGGGTGCTGGAACGGCTCAAGGAGAGAGGGATAACTGTGCTGGAGGGTGCAAAGGTGGTTGAGAGGACTGGAGCGCAAGGGAAGCTGCGCAGTGTCTATCTTCGGGATCCTGATGGCAACTTGGTTGAGTAAGTGTCCACTCGCACAACACATATCTGCCTCCTTCGGCCTCTTGCAGCGAAGTTGAATTTCCAGACCTCCTAGCTGACTATCATCTCCCCTGGGGCGTTCCAGACTGTCGAACTTGGTATGAAAAATATCAAAGACCGCGTAAGCAACGTACAGGATTGGCCCTGGAAAGGGAATGCAGACCTGCCACCAGCAGGTCGAGCTGTTTGTCACCGGCTAGAATGAAACCATCGTCGATTTCATGGCCCAATTGTCCGGAGGTCGACTCCAGAACCCTCCACTTTGCGTTCAGCTGGACTTCATTGCCCATCCATCCAGCCTCTCCTGCCATGCGAAGCCACAATATGGACGCTAACGCACCTCTCCAGCTGCTGGTCCACCGAATAGGTCAAGATCGCGGCTTCTTTCTCCTGCCCGCATGAAAATGGTGTTGCGAACATCGGTTAGCAAGGTCTATGCCTTTGGACGGACGATGGCTGAGGAGGGGCGTTAGGATTAGAGTCTAGTCAACTGCCGCAGAAGACCTGACATGGGTAACAATTCGGATCAGGCAAGGGGCCTTAAAAACGAGAGGACATTAACATTGGGCTTTGTCAAGACAAAAGAGTCTATGACAGCCGAGACCTGAGTTCTCGGGTCTGTTGATGCCTAAGCTATGTCGCGCAGTTGCGCACTCGTAGATGATCAGGTCAACCTTAGGGCTTAGATTGACTTCTTCTCGTTCGTGTGTGGGGTGTTGCTCTGAGCGATGCTCTTGTCGTCCGAGCTTGTCGTGTCACTCGCCACTTGGGTCTGCGCAATGGTACGTAATACTCCTGCAGCCTGGGTTCGTAATAGGATAAAGCCCTGCTGGAAATAATCCAAACAGGACAGGACTCTGGCCGGTTCTGGGATGCATTTGATTTGTCGATGAGCCTGGTTGAGGTTTGATAACTTCGAGGACCCGTGAGACCTTCAGGTGGCGTCCAATTAGTGTTGATAGTGGTTGAAGCCCAAAGTGCTGATCTTTTGCCATATCAAGATGTGAAGCGGGAGCCAGGATATGTGGAGGCACCGAGTTGTTGAACAAGCACCCACAGTTTTTGCGTCTGGGGGGACACGGGCTTTGCCTGTTTGGAGAGAGTCTATTTGGGTCGTGGACTCGTGGGCCGGTCGCCGGCCAAGGATCTTAAGTCTCGAATCGATAACCGAGATCACAGCAGCGCACCATCTTATTTGTGTTCAGTTGGCGGTGGATAGTGGCAGAAGTACCGACGCTCGTGCCATCAACTCTTCATCCTCAGGAGAGCTGGGAAGCTGCTACACCTTTGGAGGTTCTTATTCCTTGGCGGTTATGGATCAACAGAGGTTGCTGGACCCTGTTCTGCGCAACTACTCGTATAGAATGTGTATGCAGGCCTTAGGGCATCGGCATGTGGTCCTACTTAGCTTTGCATCCAGCGCTTAGAGCGCCCGGGTTGTTGGTCCGCGGTGTCTTCCCCGGAACCTCTTTTTGTTCTCCTTTCCTTTTGAGCGACTTCTTTCCAACCGGAGAATGTTAAGAGATCAGGCCAGGACGAGTATGCTCCAGTAATCAAGAAGGTCTGCATGCTTGGAGTGGGTTCTAAAGCGGAAGCAGATGGGGCGCGGCTTGAACTTTGGTTCTGAACTCCGCCCAATGGTCGCAATGGCTGGGTTGTGACCTTGATCAATGTCCTTGGTTTGCACGTCTGCTCCGTCGGCTGTGATTGGGATTTCAGCTATCTTGAGTCGTGCAGGGGTTCCTGCAGGTTGCAGAGACATCTGTTGACGCCAGTGATGAAGTTGACCAGAGTCAACCTGTGTCGAGGTCAGCTAATTACCACCATACTGCCCCATGCGGAGCCGAAACTTGTAATCCGCCTCTTCTGCAGCTGGAGACCGGAGCTGGAGAGGTCATCCCTACATTAGCGGTGCTCGCCAAACATGTCGCTGATTGCCACTCAGCCCTGAATCACTTCTGAATTGTCACCGTGGTGAAAAACCCTGGCCGAGCTGGGAGGAAGATCCTTGTCGAGCGTGCTTGGGGAACAGATCTTCAACGCGCGGCGCCCGGCAGTTCACTTCTGGTGAGTCCGAGGGAGAAGGTAACAAGCGCTCGTTTGCTGGGACAAACTAAGATGTCGAGAGAGAAGAGGAGGGGGAGGGGTGATGTCGCGCCTGTCAATGCAGAGAACTCATGTGGTTTCATGCAGCTCGTTCAACGGCGACGGGTTTCGGTTTCGGGTTGGGGCACCGTCCTACACAATACCGCACCGACCAGGCAGCGTTAGTGTTTGTACATAGCTAATGGAACCAGAGCTAGAGGGGGAGTAAGGTACCTTCTTAGTTTGGCAGGCACAGGTGTTGGGAGAGGTGGACTTGGAACAAGTGTGAGTGATCAGGAGTGCAATTGGGTGGTTTGTCACCCTCACTCCAAGTTGGGGATTTGGATGAAAATGAAGACTCACTCACGCGTCTACCAATCTCATCCATCATATTTCTCACTTTGCTTGCCTTTTCCTATCCCGTCCTTCGACACTGACGAATTGATTCATCCTCTCGTCTTTTCGAGACAAGGGGGGCTTTCGACTATTGTTGCTACCTAGGGAGACTCCTGAAGTTATTGACCTTGGTGGTAAATGGCTCTCCTGGTCACCCTCCTCACCTCTCGTATCACGGTGCATGCCTCAACCCACCCTTGCCTTAGTTCGCAGGTCGGTTGGGGCTGGCGTGGTTTCTACTCCTTCTAGTGTCAACCTCCACTTTGCAACCTTGCTTGATCAACAAACCCTCCAGCAGCGCAGGCGTGCTCGCCTAAACTAACCCTTCCACGCATCCAACCCTATGCGCCATGCCGAAAGCTACAGCTTCATTCTTGGATTTCTTTGGTGTGGGCTCTTCTAAATCCAAGTTTCGGAACTGCGGGCGGCCCTTTCATTTTGGGACTTTGGTTTTTCGGTCCAGCAAGCGATCCACGCTCTGTCCCTCTGCCTCTCCAAGCGACTACCACCGCTGCTCTACCATGGCCAAAAGAGAAGACAAGGGATACATCACGGCGCACCCATGAGTTGACTATCACAATGTGACGGCGTCTCAGCTGGCCCCTTTCACATGTTGATGCAGTTGAAATCCCTGGCCGGCATGATACAACATCCACATGACAAGGAGGGCCTCGTATTACCCTTGCAGCCCCCAATAAATCTGCGACTGGCCACCATCTCTTTGTGCGCCCGCCCTGAGAGGCGGGGTTCACCTACCTGCGAAAAGTGAAAAGCCCTGGCACCACTACTACTGGCATCTGTCGCAAACGCTACTGCACAAACCGTCAAAACTTCTTTTTGCCTGCCGTCCTAGAACCCGCGCGAAGTCCGACCCTGTCGTGTCGTTCCATTTTTCCATCGCTGTCCGTCCTTTCCGAATCTCGGTGCACTGCTCGCTCGCTCTCCTACCACCCCCTCCCTTTCCCCACGCCTATCTTGTCGAGTGTTCCTTTGGAGGCCCCATCCTGCTAGCGACATCACTTGCCAGGATCTAATGTCTGCGGCGCACGGTCCCCCGGTCTCGAATTACGCCAGCTGAGCCCTCGCTAAATGCCATCCGCGATGCCAAGGGCTGGTGCTCGACAAGATTTTCGGTTCAGAAGTCCATTGGGATTGACCGACTGCTTTTTGGTGCCCTTCGGTATTTAAGAGGCAACACGTCGACCGTCATCAACCGACACAGCTCACGCATATCGTCCTCCTTCAGGTATCATGACTCCGACGGCACATGGTTCGTCGTCTTCGATCTGTGTGCTCAGTGGCTCACAGCGTTCGCCCTCGTTTTCATTGACCACAGATGCATTTGCATCAGAGGCTATGTACGCCTATCCAACTCAGATACCAGGCCCGGGAGGTTTCGACGGTCCACATCGTCCTTCCTATTTCTCGGGGTCTGCTCCTCAATCTCAAAGTCCCAACCATTGGCCGCCTTCACCATTTCCTCCCCTGACCGTCGCACCTCATTCGCGTTCTACGACAGGGCATGGTTCTGAAAACGATTCAGCCTTTTCACCTTCCTCGCAGCCCTCCAGATACAGCGCTCCCATCCACAGTCCAGGAACGAGCACCTTTAGTGACCGAAGGTAGTGGTAGAAGCTCTACTGAAGCTCCTTTCACTGACGGTCGTTCTAGATTGTCGTACGACCCTTCCCCATTTCAAGCCTCATACAGTGAACTTCAAGAACCGATGCCTCAATCTGGGTTCAGGACCGCCAGTCCGATATCTGACACTTTACAAGACGCAGCCACTCCTTTAAGTGTTCCGGTGACGGAATCACCGGTTGTGGCGAACGCAACTCCCAACGAGTCCTCTAACTCTGTCCGGTCCTCGGTCAATAATGCCAGGCGATGTCATTTACACATTAGACAGCAACCCCGAGCCGCTCGCGCAGGACCCGACGGAAAGGACCGAAGGTAAATTCCCAGATATCTTGGGACTTTTTCAGGGCTGATCAGTTCGTTTCAGAGCAATTGACCCACCGCCAATCGTGCAGCTGTTGATGGATGACTTTGACCCCGACAATGAGGACGACGTAGCCGAGCTCAAATGCCCTTTTTGGGTCGTGCACTGCAGGCTGGTGGGAGCAGTCGCCGTGAATTCGGACGTGAGCACGCAGTCTTACTACACGGAGGAAGGACAGAAAGAAGTTCAACGCCTCCTCTTGGGTACGACTGTGGCGAGTCCAACTCATACTTCTGATGACCCTGATCCCCCTACAATGCCGACTCATCCCGCCACGAAAGATGCAGCACCTGCACCCCCGAGTCCGACGTCGAGGTTCTTGCCAAACACGACTCGCGGGAGATTACCAAGAGCACCACACAACATTCCCGGCTCTTTCTTCATATTTGCCGATCTCTCGCTTCGCCGGGCTGGCGAATACCGGTTGCAATTTACACTGATGAAGATGGAGCCGCCATTACTGAGGGTGGGCGCCACGGTGCCCGCTCACCACGTAGTCACCAGTCAAGTCTTTCGAGCAGTTAATGCAAAGGATTTCGACCAAGTGCAGCCTAGCACCAATTTGGTGAAGGGACTCCTCGACCGAGGCGCAGGATACCCTCTCAAGCTGAAGAAAGGGATCAGAGAGGGTCAAAGACGAAGGAGGCAACAGTGGGATGACTACTCCGACGACGAGGATTCAGGTGACTACGACAATGAATGATGGCGGATTAACATAGGCTGGAGGTGAAGGCCACCAGTCTGTCAAGTCCACATTGAGAGTGTGAGAGCGAGCTCTCTTGGAAGCTTGAGTAACGGTCAGTGATGGTCGATTATGGTAACGATGACTGTTGAGCTTTTCTCTCTCCCTTTTGTTATGGCAATACATGACATGCCTTCGCATTTTGGGTTCCTCGGTAATGAGATACGGGTAAGCAGAGACCCCAGAACGTAACAGTCAGAAGCACAATGGAATTTATGAGGAGGTTCGGGATGTATCTGACTAGGGCACGGAACAAGGCAATGAAGACATGTGCAATATGGGCGGTCAGGCGAATTTGTCAAGCTTACAAGGAGGCTAGGGGGACAGGGCTTGCAGCTTTTGGGGGCGACAAGGTTTTTCCCTTTTCTTGAGAGATGTATTTCACACAACATGCGACAAGCGAGCCAGGAGCTAAGGGGCTAGGAATTGGGGGTTGGTGGGAACAGCGGTGATTCAACCTGTCTTGTCTACCCGAGTACAGCGCAAAGTATCTCAAGGAGAAAACCGGCGACTTCGCCAATCCACCATTAGAAAAGTCGACAAAGAAGCAGCCACACGAAAAGACGTCGGGGGTTTCCAAGCTGTTGGGTTCTGTGTTCAAAAAGCATTGGACGACTGGGTGCATGTTGGTGCTACGGCTAAGGTAGCAGTGGGAGTCAAGCAGGCGGTCTGAACTGTCGAAGGCCTTGTTCAACAGGATCGAGGGAGATATGGTTGGACAAGAACATCATCGTGCAGCAGTGGAGGCAAAGGAAACAAGTCCCGACGACGCAGCAATCATGGAGTTGATTCGTCTACTCGGGGCTCTTTTCGTTTGGCTGGGAGATTTTGGGGTCCAGCAGATGGTGATGGAGTGGGTGATGGTCATGCCACCGGGTGTAACCATGGATGGGGACAAGGACTCGGGTACTGTTGCTTGAAGCAATTCGAGGTAACCTACCAAGACATGCCATGTACAAGTAAGTATATTATGATGATTATTTATCATTCTTTTTTGTTAGTGCTCCCATACCGACAGGTCTGGATCCAAAGAAAAACCTTTTGTTCGTCTCCTTTCAGGAGCGAGAATGCCTTGACACAAACTCAACCCGATCTTTCCTATCGTTCTCGGTTCTACATGCCTCGTCTTTCTTTTCTTCCTATTCTCGGGTAGCGGGTTGAGGAGGGAGAGAGACTCACAACTACCAGCCAAGCATCTAACATATCTCTCACTTTACGCAGGTACAAGTAAGTACGAGGTAAATATTTTTTTTTGGTTTGTCAGCAGTATATTTAATTTTTACTTTTCTGGGAGGGCTTGGGTCATCGGCATTCCCTTGTTCCTTGGAAAGTGGTTTGACGGGATGGCGGACGGGTCGATGCGACGACGCACGTAACGTGGATGGCAGGCAAGGCGGGCAAAGCAGGTTACAAGCAGGATGGGGGACGGATGGAGAATAATAATGGAGAGTCTAGATCTTCGTTGGCAACAACCGAAAAAAGAGATTTAACCGGCCAGCCGGCGGGCGCGAGCGAGTCGGCTTGTCAGGCGAAAAGTGGAGTTTCCTCGGTTGGGGGCGAGAGTCTAGATCTCGTCGGCCCTTTTTTTGTGTGTGTCTTTCAATCTCAAATCTCAAATCTCAAATCTCAATCTCGTCTTCTGTTACTCTTTCTGTTTCGAGCTCGAGGTCGGGATCTCTTTTCTCTCGCTTTCTGCCTCTGTCTCTATCTCTATGATGGGAGTTACAGCTGCAGCTACATCGGGACACGTACAGTCGTAGTCAGTCTAGTTAGTCGGTCATTCACTCCCTCCATCACTCTTCCAAGGAACCTTGGCATCCGTGACAGGGAGTCATTATGTGATATAAAACACAGGCCATCGGGTATCGAGTTCCGTAGTCCTCGTACTCGGTACATGCTTCCTACCCACGAGCTAAAACATTTTGAACAATATTTTTTTTTCTCGCCCTCAGGCTGGGGCTGGGGGGGTCCAATCCATCCCCCGACCTCCATCGCCCCCATACGAGTTCGGAATTATGTAACCTCGTACCCTCGTCTGTACATACTCTTTTCTCGACAGCCTCTCTCTCGGTCTGTGTTTTCGGGTCAGCTGAAAACAGAAGAATCCGAAAACGAAAGGTTTGATTGAAAGATAGGGACGCGTAACAGGCAGGCAGCACATCAAGAGATAAGGTTACGAGGGTACAAGGGTACAAGGTTCGAGGCTACGAGGTGACGAGGTGACGAGGAAGAAGGAAAAAAAAAAGGCCCAAAGATGGACCTAAACGTTGTTCTTGTAGGGCTTTTTCAATTCTACACATTCGTACCGACTTACCTCGTAGACAACTTTTGGCGCCGGCCGACTGCGCGGATGGGCGGACCGCGGGACGGCGGGTAGATATTGGCGTGCGGCATGCGGCATAGGGCATGCGCCGTGCGGCGTGAGGCGGGCGAAAGCGAGGGAGAAAAAAAAGAACTGGGACTTCCCAGCACGGGCACCACGAAGTATTCGTTCATCATGGCACATGTCTGGCGGGTTATCGGTTGCCTCGACACCGTCTACGAGTATGAGTACGAGTACCGGTATGAGGACGGGGACGAGTATACACACACATACATGGGTACGATACAAGCATCAGAAGGGAGGAGAGAGGAAAGAAGAGGAAGGAAAGGCGGTTGGGTGGACGTCGGCACGAATTGCAGTTACCGTACTCGGTAGCTCGTAGATAGAGGTAGGTAGGTAGGTAGATACGTGGCTCTCTCTAGTCGATACAAGTGCAAGTACAAGAACAAGGACAAAGACTCGGGAGATGGAGTACAACACGACACGAACCGGAAAGTTACTATCACCTAGGTATATTTTTCCTGATTTGGACGGGGGCGACGACGCTCAAGGGCCAAGCCTTCCCGGATTGAGGATGATATATATGTACTCGGTACAGATAAAGTCACAGACACGGTAGGGTAGGCAGGGTAGGTGCCTAGCTGGGTCACTAGGTCACTAGGTCACTAGGTATATGTCGGTGGTAGGTATTAGGGTTCGGTCCAAGAGGATACCGTATCCGCGAGAGCCTCAACCTCAGCCACCAACTACCAAGACGACATCCTCCTGAGATGGTTGGTTGGGTGCCTATGCAGGCAATGGTGTGGCATGCAAGTACTCTCCTGAACCATCGAGACAGGGCTGATGTTGGCTCTGTCGCTCATATCCCATAGGGGTTGGTTCGACGTGCATGTGGATACCGAGGGCTGGATCAAACGCACATGCAATTCCAAATCCTCGTCGCCGTGGCTTGCTGCGAGTGAACACGTTGGCTGTGCAGGTTCAAGCCAGGCTGTCACGAGCGCGATCGTCCCTCTACCACAAATTATAGACCTTAAGGACGGAAAGTCTCTTGGCCTTGTCGACTGCCACATCAGGCATGTGCCTCATTTCCACTTTGCTAGACTCACTCCAGCTGCCCGAGAAACTCTTCACTGGACTTTTCGTACTTCTTCAGGGATTCGGACTCGTCCGTGTCTTTCCACGCTAGCTGGAATTCGCTGAGATAGTTGTTCCATGTGTTGTCAGGATCGAGCCCCGCCTCGCCCATACTCTCCTTTGCAAAGTCAATCCACGACATGCCTTCGTCCGCGTACCCGTGTTCGCGCAACAGGTGGGCCAATCCGAGATACTTTGCGACCATGGGCCCCGTTTCGGGAGCAGACAGAGCGGCACTGACACCGAGCCACTCAATGCCGGTCCATTCTCCAGGTTTCTTGTTGGGCTCTGGAGGACGCCATCCGTCTTTAGAGAGATAGTAGAATGCTAGTTGCAGGGACGAATCCGCATCGCCAACGCTAGCAGATTGCGTCGCGAGCTCAATCCACTCCTTGGAATGTTTTTCCGTCACCCCTGGTTGACGCAATGCGAAGGGAACCGCTGAAACATCGGAGTATTTGAAAAGTCCATCCCGAATGGCATTTTCAAGATCCGACTGCACCTGATCATATTCGGCACCTTCACCAAGGTAAGACAAATAGGACTCGGCCGCATCATGAAGAACCCTCCATGGCAGGTTGCGAGGTTGTAAGAGAGACGAGTTCTGCGTTCGAAGGTATTTGCTCGGTTCGACTATGGCGACTAAGTCTTTGGCAAGCTGATAACTCTCTCTTGCTGTTGCTTCGGTGCCTGTCTTCCTCGACATTTCATCCAAGTAGAGTAATATTGCAAGCCAATCGTTCCTTTCGAACGCCTTGGCTTTGACATAGTCGAAAATTCGTGGTGACAGACGAGCCTCGTGCTGACTCAAGGAAGCCCCTAAAGCGATCTCTGCTGCTGCTGCATCCACGCCTGCTTCAGTCTCTCCTGCAAAGAACGCCATACGCAAGGCATCACAGCCGTCATTGCCCTTGCGGTTCTGCTTGTGAAAGTCATTCTGACCTAGTGAATGGAATGCCTTGCGGAGAATCTGTGGATCGCGCATTAAGGCTGCTTCATCGGTGCCCAGCACTTCCTCTGATACCTGAAGAAATCCTAATGGGGAGAGGCGTCAGCAGACAACAACGTACTCACGACCGGCATGCCCACATACTCTGTTGTGTAGTGGCAGAGATCAAGGCATTGGCAAGAGGAAGCTTTTTCAGCTCCCCACAGAGATACCTCAGCACTTGCACCACAGTCTCGATCGAAAAGAAGCCCAAGCCGTGCAATGCACTGACCAGGTCGGGCGAAATATAGTAGGAGTCATGCTTTTCCGATCTCGATTTCAGGTCCGATTTCAATTTCTTCACCTCCGATCTGAGTACGCTCTCGAGTGTTGGGTCGGGAGTCTTTAGTGTAGCCCGTTTTGCGTATGTGGGAAGTCGACTTCTTTTTGCAGCCAGTCGAGTAGAGCAGGACCAAGAGCGATGTAGGGACTGGGAACGAAGGGCCGGCGGATACAGTTCATGCCTCAGCACAATCCTCCATCGGCCCCCGTACATGTCGTAGAAGGCCTTAGGAGCGTGTTGCCCATCAATTCCTCGTCAGACGCCGTTCCAACTATGTCTTTTATCTCTGTGGAGCTGCCAATGTCATCTAGGCCTTGGGCGGGTGTCTGAAGTGAAGAGATGAAGTTGTCCGAGACGCAATCAACGCGTCCCGCCCCTTGCCAAGTCTTATTGGTGGAAAACCACGTGCGACTTTCCACTCCGCTACCAGGCCTCTTTTTTTCTTCTTCCATGTTGTTCCCCGATCTTGTGAGGGGCAAAGGCTGAAATCAGACGTCCTATCCGCGAGGGTCACATTTGGCCTGCCTCACCGACCTGCGCTGGGGACGCCCTTGAAATACCGCTCGAAATCTCATTACCACCGCCACGCCCAAAATGCCTGCTCCCGCTGGAACCAAGCGCGTGCGTGGGGTTCAGATTTATCGTCCCTTCATCTACGGCACCGAAGCCATTCCGTTCGACCCAGAAAACCGCCCAAAGGACGCGCCACCCGACCATACACACAAATGGAGAGTGTTTGTCCGTGGGATCAACAATGAAGACATATCGTATTGGCTGCGAAAAGTGCAGTTCAAACTCCACGACACGTACGCTAACAGCGTTCGCATGATCGAGAGCCCTCCGTTCGAGGTGGAAGAGACGGGCTGGGGTGAATTTGAAATCGCCATCAAGTTTTACTTTGTGCCCGAGAGTACAGAGAAACCCCAGCAGATTTGGCACGGTCTGAAATTACATCCATACCATGGGGACATTGAACAGCAGAAGAACAACAGATCAATGATCAGCAGCGTCTGCTACGAAGAGGTGCTGTTTAATGAACCTGTGGAGGCTTTTTACGAGATCCTCACGGGAGGTGGTCGAGTGAACAAATCAAAGGCAGGAAAAGGAGGAAAGGGAGTCGTCAAGGCGCCGCCCACCGCCGAGATACCCATGAAGAGCTCTCCTGGCAACAAATTCAGCAGGGAAGAAGAAAGCAAAGAGCTGGACCGCCTGGGGGAGGCTGTCAAGCAAGTCCAGAAATTGATTGCGGAAGAAAAAGCAAAACTTACAAAGGAGGAGGCGAGACTACAGGAATTGGAAAAGACCGAAGGGAAGCCCGTGAAGAAGAAATGAAGCGATACGGCTCCGGTCCTTAGCCATCACAGCCGGGCGCCTGTACCGACAGACTCCTTGACCAGCTCAAGGATCCTCTCAGCAGCGCCCCAACTCATCTCATAGCCTCGTCCGCCGGCACCATACCCATGGACAACGGTTCTTCCGGGTCCAACGGATTCGATTTCAATCCGATAGCCACCTTCCCGCCACGGTCTGCGGCCGACATTGTCTTGCACGACCTCGAATTTCTCTATCGAGTCGACAAAATAGGGAAACTTCTCCACCGACTGCTTCAGCAGATTCGCCCTTGTCTCCGAGCGAGGGGCGTCATGCCAATCATCAATCTCCTTCGTTCCGCCTACGATCGTCCCCCCACCTTGCGGTCGTGGGATTAAGAATATCCAACTCCCATCTGCATTCTGCCGAGTAATTGTCTTGGTGTATTGTTGCTTCACGAGGACTGTCTGACCGCGAATGATCTTTGTCTTAGGATCATGATCAAAGTTTCTCCCAGAGCAATTTACCACCACTGACACTTTCCCAAGTCGATTCCACCCTGCAAAGTCGAATGCATCGGCTACGTTTAAGAGGCGATGTCGAACAAGTCGTCCTCCATTCGCCAGGAATCTATCCATCAACCAGCGAGAGTATTTCCGGATGTTGATGCAATAACTCTGATATTCACATCCCCACTTTACACCGGCTGGCAACTCATCCTGGCGTAGGACGCGGAACTCATCATCTGGACCTGCATATTCGTATCCGGGCGTGATGTCCAAAAGTTCCTGGGGCGGATCCTCAAGGTACTCGACCGCAGGCATAAAACCTACTCCCGAGTCCGGAATGTCTCGCGCGATACCTTTCATAATATCCCTCGTCCGCACGCCCATTCTGAATTCCTCTTTGAGTTGTTCGGTGGAGAGCGGATGAATTGGACGGTAGTGGGCGCCTGCCCACATGGAGGCATAGTCTACCGATGGAGATGTTGTTGTGGGCGTCTCGGCGGCTACAATGGTGATTTTGGCTGACGGGAAATGCTTTTGAAGTAGAGTCGCGGTGCTGAGGCCGGTTATGCCCGCACCAATAATGAGGACATTGGTGGCTCTGGCTTGAGGCATGGCGAGATGTCTGTTCGGCTAGCGAGCTGCTATAGATACCTTTCTGAGCAGTGCTCCTGTCGTAGAACAGGTGAGGATGACGAGGCCGCACTCGTGCCTGATGATCCTATGTATGTTGATCAATCCCTCTCACCTATGTTTGTACAGAGCGTCGTACAGCCGTCCTAATTTCGCTCGAGTTTTCTCGTCCTGTCGTGCGAGAGTGATCTCTTTGACCTTGCAGGTGCTCTCCAATCCTGCCCTGCGCGACTGAAACAATCCTTGAAATAGAGACGACCTCGATTTTGGTACCACAAAGGACTCGTCGGGCCGAGAAGATAATAGAATCACAGACCAAGCCTGGGTTCTTTTACCCTGCTCGAAACCGAAAGTTGCTCGCTGCTCCGCTACGCTCGCCTTAGGTCAGCGGCGATGGTACGGTACGGTACGGTACGGTCAGTCAGTGGTTAGCAGGTAGAAAACCTGGATATCTTGGTTGTTTGTATAGAATTTGGATTTGGCTTGTTGATATATCTCCTCTCGTGAATGAGGTACAGTACCTCGCAATGACTGTATGTTTGATATGGAGGCGGAGGGGCTACGCTTAGGAGGACGTGTCGTGACCAAGGGACAGCAAAAGACTCGCGCGGGATGGGGAGAATCAAGTGAAAAAGCCAATTCCAATCGGTGTCGAATATGCTGTGTGCTCGGCGTTGGGTTTGACAACATGTAAGTATGTATGTAGGTCTGTAGGTCTGTATGTACTCGGGATGAGTGCATGTACTTATGTGACAGGGCGCCAGCGCCCACCCAACATGGCGTTCAACTCCGCTTCTAGGTAATACGAGTACCTCGTATGCAACCTACTCAGGTATACACGGAGTGTCTCGACAGAGAAACCCACTCTTTTCTTCCTCACACCACCTATAGTCCAGGACGCGCAAATTAACGGAACGCTGGTTTTATAGACTCTACTTGTAGTTTTCTGGGTTGTCGAGAAAACGAAAATGTATGATTTCTTGCGTGCTTCCCAAAAGGTGGAACCGGCTGTCAATCTACTGGGTCTGGAGAACACAGCTTCCTTGTCCTCTACTCTTGTAAAACCCAAAAAGTCAAGTTTGCTTTGATCCACCTCACATGGCTGTTCCTCGCTCGAAACTCTCCCTGATGTCCTTCGTATACCGGTCATAGAACCTCGCCAGCTTGAGGTTGAATTGCTTGTTCTTGTCATTGATATATGTGACGTCTCCTTCGTCCACGTCACGTCCTCTTTCTCTTCGTTTCTTGAACCGCGTTTCCTCTGCCTTCTTCAGATCGTTCACCAGGCGATCCACATTCTCCCGTTTGGGCTTCTGTTCCACGAATCCTAGACTGTCGTGGTCCGCATAGAACCGGCCATCCTTGTCGATGGCAACAAGTTCGCCATTCTCCATTTCCACAATCTCCAGTCCTCCGGTGCGTGCGGCGTTTTCAATGATTTCCGCTTTCTGTCGTTCGTATTCTTCACGGTTGCGGTGACCGTCTTTCAACGAACTCTTCTCCAACTCGCGGATTTGACGATCATACATCCTGGAAGCCTCGTCGCTCCAATCCGAAAACGCGTTGTTGTCCCGTGCGGCCTTTTTCCGTTCCTGCCTCTCGTCCCATCTCTCACTTTCCTCGATAGTGTAGTCCCACGCTCGCTTGCGCTCGAAAGCCCCTTTGCCCTCTTCTTCTTCCGTATCTGCCTTGAGAAGGTTGTGCTGCGCGATCGCCGAGCGTCTGTTCAAATTGGCGAGCAACGCTGGATCCATCGCTGCACGGTTGGCCTCTGCTTTGGCTTCAGCAAGATTCGACTTTGCGGACTGAGTCGCGCGGGATTTGAGGGCCGCGAAACGGGCGAGTCGGTCTGCATTTGTGCTGGTCGGGACTGTAGTGGCAGTCGAGGTGCCATCCGCAGCTACTTCTTTAGGCTTTGATGTCGAGTCCCCTTCATCATTATTTGTCTGATCTTCGACTGTAGGTGATGCTGCCAAAGTCTCGTCGCGGTCCGGCTCTTGTCTCGTCTGTGTTTCTCTGGTATCATCTGAACGATCTTGTGTTTCCTCAGGCTCCGAGCTAAGCTTACGTCGCTTGGAAGGAGGCATGTTGGCAGTAATAGTTTGATCGACTCTTCGTAAAATTTGGTTCATTTCCTGAAAATGTTTCGAGATTTGCCCAGTTGGGTGGTCGTCGAGAGGCTGACTCTCGCCGCACCTTCCGTTTCCGGCTGGCCTCGTCAATGACGCATTTGAGTCTCTCAAAAAGTCCAAGGCACTATTTTCTTTGGTGGTGTGAGAGGGGGTTGTCTAGGGGTTAAGAGAGTACTGCAACAAGTTGATGTACTCGTTGCTCAGCTCAGACATGGCACAGGCTGCCAAGAAGAAGCTGGTCGTCGCAGGAGGCAATGGCTTTCTCGGTTCGCGAATTTGCAAATCCGCCGTCGCCAGAGGTTGGGATGTTACTTCCATAAGGTAAGTTATTTGGTTGCGTCCTGATACCCGACGGTGTAGTATGGCTGACAATGCTCTAGCCGCTCAGGCGAGCCGACGTGGTCCTCAGTAACTTCCTCGACAGAGCCTCCACCTTGGTCCAAGTCCGTAAGCTGGGCAAAAGGTGACATCCTAAAGCCCACGACCTACACCTCCCACCTCAAGGACGCCGATACAGTGGTGCATACGATGGGCATCTTGCTCGAAGCAGACTATAAAGGGGTCATCTCTGGAAAGGAGTCCATCTTCTCGGGTCTATCCAGGGCGTTCAGTCCCACCAAGGCCGGGAGCTCCAAGAATCCACTCGATCGAAAGCCAGGCGAAGGGTTAGAAAAGGGCGAAAAAGACGGCCAGATCACTTATGAATTGATGAACAGAGACTCGGCCATTGCATTGGCACAAGAAGCTGAGAATGCTGGTGCACACACGTTCGTCTACATATCTGCCGCCGCGGGTGCGCCCGTCCTTCCTTCGCGATACATTACCACGAAGCGAGAAGCAGAGAACACAATAGCAAGCCAGATGACCAAGCTACGGAGCATCTTTGTAAGACCCGGGTTCCTGTGGGACAACAGCCGCAAATTTACCCTGCCCATAGCCGCCTCTGGCATGGTCGGGAGCACGGTGAACAGTCTGGTCGGAGGCAGCTTAACTGGTATATTCGGTGCAGCCGTCGAGAAGCCTCTGAAGGTGGACCTAGTCGCGGACGCAGTGGTTGAAGCCATTGCCGATGAGGACACGAAGGGTGTTTTGGATACGAAGGCGATTGAGGCTCTGGCTGCAAAAGCCTGGCGCAAGACGATGCTGTGAGACATTCTCATTGTTGATGACTTGTACAATAGACAAAAGGTCCCAGGGATCTGGGGGTTTGGTCTTTGATCACCAGGGCGTCCATGCCAACATTCGTAGTTGCCGCACTCGAAAAGATAATGGTGGTTGTGGGAAGTGTATTAAAATTTTCAGGAACTGAATTCTCCTCAATATCAACACATCAATTGACAAACCAAAGATCCGTCTCTCCTGGTCTACCTTCGCCACGAGTCTCCGTCGACCTCTTGTATCCATGGCTTTGCTTCCACGGGTCTGTCAAAATGTATCATACACAATCCACCTCCTGGAACGCCCTATATCATACCATTCCCGCTATGCTTTACCACATTCGAAGAGTGAGGATCGTAGAATAGACACCGGACGGTCGCAACTGTGCACTGCTCTGAAGGCATGCAAGTTAGGGAGAGGCAGTTTTATACAAGCGGGGAATCCCCAAAGGTCATTAGCTTAGATGCTCGCGTGTGTCGGAGCAATAATATGTTCTTTCGCCTCCGCGGGTTCGCCGGGTTCGAAAACGACCTTGCGAGTCAACTGAGATATGAGTTAGCTGAGAGTCGCATTGCGCACATGAAAGAGTCACTACTTACAGCCCACGCTCCCGCAATAGTGCCCACGATACCACTCGAGATCAACATCGGTTTCAAACCTCTGGTACTCTTGAAAATGGCTCCGCTTAAAGCACCTGCCACGATGCTATTTGTGGCATCATGCTTGCCGCGATAGTATCCTATGGTTGAGTTTACTCCATTGTAAACCATAGCAACCACACCGGCCGAGTTGCCCAGAAAAGGTCCTCTTCGAGTGATGCTGTTCAAGACGCTGTTTAATCTTAACTTTGGAGGCGCCGATGCCGGTGTTCGGTTCAACCCCTCTATCAGACCCCAGGCGCCTCCAGTAGTCAAGGCTGTGAGATAGACGACTCCCGTGCCGTAGCACAAGTCGTCGGACCAGCCGCGCGACGGTAATATTGACCGGGAGCCGGGAAGGTCTGAGAGTTGCGATTCATCTAGTGTGAGGTAGTCGAGGGTCTGTTGATTTAGGCCGGCCAGTGGATGAAGTTTCGAGGCATCCGGTAAAGATGCGCTTCCGAGAAAAGACGATACGTCTGTTGCGGTCGTGGGATCGAAATGGGTGGGTGTAAACGATGAAGACGCAGACGATGGAGAAGGAGACTGAGGTTGGCTGGAGGCTTCTGATTGCTGCCTCGAGGACTTCCTGCCTGTGAAAGCGTCCCAGACAGACATATTGTGCTGTGCCGAAAGAAAGAAAATACAGATGGGGAGAAAGAACTCGAGAAGATAAGAGGCGTTGCGACGACAGTTACAGGTTGGCGCTGAAGAACGGACAGAAAGTCGAACTCGCCTGGAAGAAAATGTTCGAAATGCGGATCAGTCCAAGATAGGCTGGAAGCCCATTATTTTAAAAGCTAACCCTGATTAGTATTAGCGTTAATGGGCCCATTTCTATCGACTTTTCCACAAAACTCCTTAGCAGTGGTTGGTGTGCATAGATCATGAAGACGGTTCTCACCACTTTCCTCACAAAGAGAGAGCCTCTACGGCTATGATGGAGGACCTGAGACATATTGAAAACACCAACTGCGCTGCGACCATCCCAAAGCGATGGAGAGTCCCTGTACCAACCATATGGATCCCATATCTTGTGCCATAAGTACTGAAGTTCCTCTTCCCATTTCACTTCTTTCAGAGCTGGGAAGAGGTTCTCTTAGAGCGGCACTGGGCAATGTTGATGGTACCCAGGATGTCTCTGGGATGCTGAAAATATGGCACAAGCTTGTGCTCACAGCAACTAGCCCTAGAGTGGCCGACAAACACATGACTGCAGCGGCGAACGCTCTATGTGTCTATTTACATGGTGCAGCCCAAAGCAATGCTGTCTCGCTGCGAGAATTCGTCCTCTCTCATGATGTGTGGTTCGAAGTGTATCACTGTGTCCACAAAGCTTTCCATGATGGCAAAACAAAACGAGCGAAGCAGATAATGGAGACACTATGTGAACTGCTTGACCAGCAGAATGATCCAGAAGTGATGGCCGAGGTCTTGCGGCGAACATCACTTCCCCTGGTGAGGGTTGTCTTGCTATCCTTACCTCGCTCGGAGATCAAGAAGGCTTGTCTTATACTAGCATTCCTCTTCCGGAAAACGCCACTCCTTGAGCAGCTCGACCAGTTGATCCAGAATTGCATGGACGAAAACCGCCTTGTTTGGACACAGCGGTTATCCCAGCATAATCTCACAATGAGCGATGCCTCTTCCATTGGGCAGGGAAATATCCCTCATTTTCTTCTTGCGTTAATCTTCGCAATGACTGATCTGGATACAAGGAGCGGCGCTATCAAGATTTGCTCTCTGCTCTGCAGTGATTCTACCAAATCCACAACATCTTCAGGGCTACAAGTTACCGCCGAGCGTGCCATTCAGCTGTATCTGGAAAGAAACCATGCAGTCCTGGGCGATTTTGCAGAGAATGTCTTGCCGGTTATTCTGGACAGCAGACAGAAATTCATGGCTTTCGTACAACCATATTCCAAGTCCTGTCAAGAGAGCGGACCAAGGACGGCTTTGTTTATTGCTATCCTTAAAGTTGGTCGAGCCAAATCAATCTTGACAGACCCTGGTATGTATACCCGTCAAACCTAGGTGTGCTATGAGTAACTAACGTTTCAAGAAACACTGGACCTTTTCGCATCAGCATTTCCACCACTTGCTCCCAATCTCAACGATGAAACGAAGTGGCAATATTGGTGTAAGCGGATGTTGATGAGCGCAGATTCTGAAGTGCGCACTCTTACATACGGGTTGCTGGTTTCATCGCCTGCAACAAATGCACTTATCCTACCAGAAACCCTAGAATGTATCGCCACCAGCTTGAAATACCTCCATGATGACGCAGGCGCGCACGAGCGAGGTGAGATTCTGAGCATTACCAAGAGGCTGCTACGAAGGCTTCAGAGCAGTATTTCAACGCTCCGGAAACCAGCACAGCTTATACCTAGTGGGAATGATGTCACAAGCCTTTTGGACGCCTATAGTAGTTTCACCATGTCTTTCTATGGGTTTTTGAAAGAGGAGCTGAATACCGGAATATCCTACCCGCGTCACATTCTTGGCCTACGATCCCTGCAGCATCTGCTTGATCTGGGTCTCGAGCCAGCCTCGTTCGCAAGAGACGATTGTCTGTTGAAAACCTTGATATGTCTGGTGCTGGATCCGTTCGAAGACGTCCGGAGTAGCGCAGCAGCTATTCTCCAAAGACTTGCCGCTAAAGACAATGATTTGATTGCGAGCGCTATAGGACACGGCCTTCTCAAGAAGATAGAGGCGCTGGTGGTCAGGACGCTTCGAGCTGATCATGCGGACGGGATGGGGAGGCTTTCTGCTCTTATAAGCATGCGTCCGTCGCTAAACGAGCCGCTCCAGGACCTTCGGTTTACAGATTTGGCAAAAGATGCATATTATCTGGAGCAGTCCACAGCTGGACCAGGAACGGTCGTTCTGAGGCCTGGCTGTGCTATCCCAATCCATGCACTTTTACTTGCCACAAGCTATCGACTACGGTATCTTGGCCGGGAGGATGCACGGATCACCTCCATTCGCCCCACGATTGTCAGAGTCTGTGAGAATGTCTGGGAACAAGTGCGACTCCAGCTTTGTGTTGATTCTCCAGAGACCGCCTTCGAACCCGAGGATGAAATGGCCAATGAAGGGCCAAAGGATCTTCTGGCTTATTCATGGAGGGCACTCCGAGATTCGAGGTGAGTTTTGTTTCCAATAATGAATATCACGGCTGATATCAGTAGTCTCGTCCTTCAATCGTTGATTCTCGTTTCGACGCCCTCTCAGGAGCTGTGTTCTGCTGTCGGGGATCTTTGCATGGATCAATTGATTTCGCTCCGGCATCGAGGAGCTTTCTCAACAGTTGCTCAGACCTTCAGTCAATGTTGCGATAAAGTCAGGCTGTCCGCCGAACCAGATGTGCGTGGTCTCATCCACAAATGGTATCAGGTAAGTGGTACGTCAAATGCCTTATCATAAACCTGGAGAAGCTCATGGTTACAGATTGCCTTAAATCAAATCAACGAGCAAGCAAATCGGTTGACACGCCGTTCTGCTGGCCTCCCTGCAATGATCGCGGCGCTCCTCAGCCCGGTCGACTCAGACCATTTTTCTTCCGCGGTTAAGGACCTAATGGTTATTGCGGAGCGAGCAATAGATGGATCCCTGAACCTCGATATCGAAGACGTGAAACTGCCGCAAGTCCACGCTTTGAACTGTCTGAAAGAGATCATGACCAACTCTAAATTCGCGGTTGTCGTTGTTCAACATCTCGAGAGAATGATGGAGCTTGCTGCGACTTGCCTGTCGTCCAAAGTCTGGGCAATCCGTAACTGTGGCCTGATGCTTCTGCGTGCTTGTATCAACCGTCTTGATACTTCAAGCATGGGCGAAGTAGTTGCGTCGACGGATCGATCCAACGAGAAAGGGGAAACTAGTGCCCCTTTAACAATAGCACTCCGTCTCTTTGATGCATCGGCATACGACATCAACAAAGATGGGAAAAAGAGAGACACAGAACTCGTTTTCGCAGGCCTCGATCTTCTCGGACATACAATCTTCAAAGGTTCCGAAGCAGACGAAGCAGCGCAGCTTGTCACGAAACACTTGATGCACTCGACATGGCCTGTTAGGGATCATGCAGCTCTCCTATTTGCAACCGGCATACTCCGCGGCAATCCAGCTGCAGAAATCATAAAACTTCTAAAGGAAATCGGTCTGTTCGGTCCGGAGAATCAAGTACACGGAATTCTACTTTGCTGTCGCTACCTGATGAGGCGAGCTGCAGCCACTATTACGTGCGCGGAGCTCGAGTCCATCCTCGAGTACCTCATCGACCCGATGGTATCTTCGAATGAGGCCCTAGTTCCCCACTCACCATACGTCTGTGCTGCATGGTTGGATTTGTTGAACGATGCCGCTTCCTGTGTTCTTGAAAATCAGTGGGCAAGTGATGTACGTGGCATCCAACGCTTACAAGGGCACTTTCCGCGCGCTGCACAGATTGATCCTGCGCATTATGCGTACCTATCTGAACGGATACTGCTTTGCAAAACTTATCACATCCTCACAAGAGACCGAAATCTCGACGGCAGAAGCAAAGAAGTACGGAATTTGGCCAGTCAGTTCTTAGAGAACATCGATGCTCTAGGTTTCGTCCTGGACGTCCTGAGTCAAAAGCATGGTCGTAATCCACCCCGGATTTGCCTCGATCTTCTTATCTGTCTTGTCGAGGACAGAAGCCAGCATTCGTTTCTTCCGCCAGCCATCCTTGAGCAAATGTTCACATGTTTGGAGCAATGCCTGAATCATATTACGGACATATCCATCGATGTCCTAAGAACACTTTACTACGGCCTGGACTTGTCCCAAATGCATACGACGCGGGATTTAAGGAATGCAACCCTGAAACTACAAGCGTCATTGTTGGGAAGAATGCATACCGCACCTGGTGGTTCCTTTACGGAGACAGAGTACCTCGAAGCATGGCTCCACGATCTTCAAGACATTTCGACCGACTATTTCGACTATTCCACAAGATTGAGTGCTATAACAGCAATTTCCACCTACATCGAACGTCTGCAACCTGTCGGCGCATTGGAGCTCCCATCTAGCTTTATGATGAGGCTTCTCCTGGTCTTGTATGATCTGTTGAATGATGATGATGATGAAATCCGGTTCGAAGCAACTCATGCGGCTCGTGGCCTCCAGTTACAACAGCTGAGTGCAAACGACAATGTGGGCAGCAGTGCCCTTGCAGCAAGGGAAAGCCTGCTGTCTGAACTTTCACGCCAATTCGGACAGTCATCGAGTCTTAGTGAAGCTGCCATTGTCAAAATTATGAGCGTCGGACAGATCCCTAGCGACTCCTCTTCTCATGTCGGACCACTTCCTTTCTTCGATACCTCATTAAATTCGAGACTGCAGAGCATCTCGAAATCGAAGAATGATTTGTTTGCCGAGGAAAGACAGAACCTGTACATGGACGATATTCGTGAGATCAAGGAGTGGATAGAGATACTACATAATGGAAATTATTCGTTTCAAACTCGGGATCTGTCGAGGTCAGTGATGAAATGGATACTGGAGGGTCTGGAGCAAGTACTTCAAGTCCTTGAAGCTGACCGAATCATACACCTTGGACTGGAAGACAACACGCACAAGGACACGCCTTTCGATCCCCGTCTCGAGTCGTTGCTTCTGCATCCACTAGGGGTAACCTATGACCACACCGTCCTGGTCTTGATGGTTCAGGTGGTCAGCTTGGCTGGAGTTCTCATTCACCACGACACAGTCTTGGAGACACGACAAATGCGGGCTACTCTAGAGAAAATCCAGGGAATATGCAGGACTTCACGGGTCAATCCGGTAATGTTGGGTGCGGTCGAACGCGCGTTGCGAGGAGAGTGAATCACAAACACCATTTTGACAGCGTGCAGCCACCAATTTGATGTTTATCCATGGACAAACGATCTGTGTAACTCGAACGCGCCGACGCAACTGCCCTTGCTCATCCATATAACACACTGTTTGGGTGCTCAACCTTCGACTTCTAGCACTCGTGTGCTTTCCGGACCCTCGAAAAGATTCGTATGTCACATATCCTCTCCTTCCTCTTAACAACAGGGCTGATCTCAACGACTAAGCGTCACCATTCCTGGCTCAACCATAATTAATCGTTTGTCGGTCCGACCGGAGAATATGAACGCAGGCCTAGCAATCTTGATATGCTTCGTGGTGATTACACCAATCTGTGTCTGGGGAGGATGGAAACTCTTCATGCCGATGATGCAGGAACACTTGGCCATGTTGGAGGAAGGTGAACGAAGAGCCGCAGAAGGACAACCGCAAGCCGTCGGATCAGGTTGATTGTTGGTCTTCACTCGAACGTCCGAGTCAGAGGCAGATTTTCATGGAAGAGATCTCCATGTGTGGACATAGCGCGTATGCGTATGGAGGTGCAGCGCACACAATCTGGGAGTTCGGCCACCACAGACAGCTTTTGATCTGCTACGACTTCGTTGTTTGCTTGGATCTTGAAGGTAGCAGATTGGAGAGTCGACTTATTGTGGTGCTATCACGCGGAGAAGAACCAGATCAAATACAATGAAATGACCAGGAAGGGCACTTCGAACTCACCCTTCACCGCTGGCTGATCACTCTATCGGCTTCGATCTTCTTGACCAACTTCATTCTCTGTACCGTCTTCTCCGATCAATGTCTCCCTCCTCCTAGCCTTCTGTAATGTAGTCAGAGTCGAAATTTCAAACATGACTTTCATCATTTCAACAGTCACAGAGACCATGACCACGGCGGTCGTGGTCTCGTCAACACTCATCACCGACACTACCACTACCGTGACTTCTCATTTGTCCACGACTCTCTTTGCAACAGTTGGCCAAACCGTCACAATTGATTCACTTGCCTCACCTTCCACAACCACTGTCACCGCGCCCGCCACCACGAAGTACACGCCTATACCGACAACAACCACGCAGACATCGACGGTAACCCTGACCGAGCTAGACATCTACCTTCAAGATGATGCAGGAAACATCTATTCAACGTGGGTCATTCCCATTTCAGGTTCTCCTCTGCCAAATCCGACACATACCGGGGTTTCGGGCCAGTTAGTCTACGTGGTCGACCCTAACGACAGCGGTTGGGATCAATGGAGCACGGGTGAAAAGGCGGGTATGATTGTAGGCGTGGTCCTTGGGGCTATTCTCATTTTTGCCATGATCTTCTGGTGTGTCCGAAAAAAGGCAAACGGGAAGTGGTGGTTCGCGCATGCGTGGCCACACTCAGCGACAATGGCGCAGCCGGTGAGTGGAAGAGTGCCTGTGAACGATCTGTACATTCAATAACCGTGAACGGACAGATTGCACCATACCAGTATGGCTATGGCTATGGATACGGTGTTGGGATCAGGGGCGGTGGTGGCGGCAGAAGTTGGAAACCAAGATGGGCAACGACTGGCTATCTAGCAAATTTGAGGGCGTGAAGGCGCGCTTGCAGAGAAGGGCTGGTTTTGCAGCAAGCTAGCTAGACCAGCCACTGCTACGGAAAGCTCGTTGAGCTCATTAAGTGCTTGAGGTCTAGCAGGTGTGTCGTGTGTGCACCTTGTAGGGTGATCAAACAACGGGAGAGTTTGCGGAGTTGATTGAAGCTATATTATCCATAGTGGCTTGGACCGAGCTGCGCAGTGAGAGACCAACCAATGACGTGGCTAGGCGGGTGAGAGTGCATCTAACGTCCCAAGTTCCTCCAACAATTGAAGGTGTGCCTTGTCACTTGCCATTGTATTTGAATCATGGAACCTCTACGATAAGCCTTGAGACTTTCTTCTTGTCTAGTCTTCAGAACTCAGTCCCCTTCCATAGCCTCTTCGTCGCATGTCAGCATAAGATGTGGCAGGATGACGAGGACAACAACCCGTACGGGTCCTTTAATAACCAGGACTCTGCCACTGAACCCTCCAATCCAACTCTAGGCACCTCTTGTATGCGAGCCTGCATCGAGCCTATCCGATCTGGTCGCTAACATTCTAGACCCAGACTCAGACCAACCGACCTCGCCCACCTCATATTCTACGCCCTCTAACCCGGCCTCCCAGTTCCACGATGATGGCGATGAGGGGGAGGAGGAAGAGGAGGGACCGGCAGAGAGCGGTTTCGTCCCTCCAAAGGGCGGCTACGACAGTAGAGTCCAGCAGATACTCTATGAACAACCGGATCTTGAGATTGTCATAACAGAAGCAGGCAAAAGCACGGATGGAGGTTACATTGTGTACAAGATTCGGACTGGAGTAGGCACATCCCGCAGGACTTGGAGACAGCTGAATGGGTGTCTGACAGATGTTGCAGGACATTGAAGTCGCGAGGAGATACTCAGAGTTCAGCTCACTGCGCGCCGCCCTGATCAATCTGCATCCCACCCTAATCATTCCTCCGATCCCGGAGAAACACACGATGGCAGACTATGCCGCCAAACCCACAAAGGCAAAGGAAGACGTGGGCATTATCGACCAACGAAAACGTATGCTTGCCGTGTTCTTGAACCGTTGCCGGAGAATGAAGGAGGTCGTTGAAGACGGCGTTTGGTGGAGATTCCTGGATCCCAATTCCAGCTGGGTAATAGCAGGCCATATTATCTGTTCCAGCTACTAGGACGCTGATCTTTCTGCGCAGAACGAAGTCTTGCACGCCCATCCAGTCGCTTCAGTGCCCAAGAATAATCTGAAGGCACCACCTCTGGATCCTGCTAATCCGACACCTGCTCACAACTGGCTGCCTATCCCATCTTCCTCCGCCAAACTCAGGCCATATGGGCCGATCTCAAGCACTGGAACGCCTATATCTCCGCCGGATCAGACCTTCCCCTCAGTTGCATCACATACGACACCCGGTCCTCAGATCTTTGGGCGGTTCCCCCTCAATTCGGAGCGACTGAGCGAAACTGACCTTGACCCCTACTTTATCAACTTCGAGCAGAACACGCGGGAACTAGAGATTTTGCTGCAAGGCAGTATCGAAAAGGTGAACCGCCGCACTATCGAGCATCTAACCAAGCTTTCAGCGGATCTTGCAGAGTTGGGCGCTCGATACAATGGCTTCTCACTCTCCGAGCAGTCACCTACTGTGGCAGCAGCAATTGAGCGCATAGGGCAGGCCGTGGACAGCACGTATATCTCCACGGAGGAGCTAGCACTTACTTTTGGCGCCACGTTTGCCGAGCCCATGAGGGAGAGTGCACAATTTGCGGGCGTCGTCCGCAATGTGCTGAAATATAGAGTCCTGAAACGAGTGCAGCAAGAGATGACCAGAGAGGATTTGGAGAAGAAACGGCATCTCTTGGATCAGCTCGAGCGCAGCGAGTCAGAAGCGAAACGCATCGATGCATATCTAGCCGGTAGCACAACGCTAGCAAACCCACCGCGGCGCTCGATGTCGAATGCTTCTGTCAGGGCTTCCCAGGAGAGGAGGGAGGGGCAGCACGAAGAGACTGAATCTGTTGATTCTGACTTTCCACCTACCCATGGCGAGCCTCCATCATCGCCTCCTTCGGCTGCTCAAGGACAGCCGCACCAGAATCCTACATCGCCGATAACGCACAAGAAGTCTCCCAGCGGCAACTTTGTGACCAACAAGATATTTGGCAGCTTCAGACATGCCGTGAATGGCTTCGTGGATGTTGACCCGGAGAGGACAAGGCGGGATCAGATCGGGAAAACACGAGAAAGCCTGTCTCAGCTGGAACAGGCTCTAGAAGTGTCGGAGAAGGACGTACACGACGCGACTCAGGGAGTGATGCGAGACCTAAAGAGGTTCCAGAAGGAGAAAGAGGACGACCTCCAGAGATATATGGTGCGTATTTCCCAAGACCAATTGCTGGTGTCAGATGTAGGCATATGGTTTACCAAGCTAACTTTTATGATCTCCTAGGTTGCGTATGCGCGATGCCATATCGAATGGGCCCGGAAGAACCTAGAGACGTGGTCGGAGGCGATGGATGAGGTGGATAAGATTGTCACGAGATGAGCCGAAAAGCTCCCGGTTGTTCCATGAAGCTATCCAGCGCGGAATAATGGCTAGAGTGGGCACGAGGCTACCAGCGAGGCGGTGGGAAGCCTCGTTGCTGCCCTGTCGGCCTTGTTTAATCAGGACGGATGATGCAAGCGAACAAAATGACTGCATTACGCGTGGCTCACTAGTATAACAGCCCGAGCACATGATTGTATTCCCGAGCTGGGATGATTAATAGGACTCCCAAAGGGGGCCGGAAGGGTGGCTGTTTACTTTGGATTTGATGGTGAGGCGAAGGTTCGCATGATTCTGGCCGGCGGCTCGGCTCATAGACTCTCAAAAAGGGTGAATGAATTGTCCTTTCAGAAGACAGGACCTGCCAACCGAAAAACAACCTCTGTTTGGATGAGCGAGATGGTTTCTGGACCCATCCACCACCCCTCTTTGTGATTCCGCCATTCAGTCGTGGCTGCGACATTCGGAGTGCCATTTTATTACCGTCAAGCTCTTCACCGCAGTGACTGCCTCACCCAAGCCGTGCATTTTCTTAGCGCAGGCAAACCGCCAGCCAGTGAGGTAGTCTGGTACCCACTCGCGACCGACTCTGGCCCTCACATTCTGCGCGGGCGTCATTTTCAGACCCTCATCTTCGACACGTTCGTTATTTCGACAGTCAGCCTTCCGCCCTGTTGCTCCCTCTAGTCCATGGTCCTGGCCTAAGTCACGAACCTGGACCTCCTCACCACCTATCCCTCCGAGCACTCCCGCCTCGGGACATGCCCGCTTCCTCTCAAAAACACCCCAATCACCAAAACCAAAACCTCTCGCAATCCAAGGATGATTTAGGCAGGCACCTGCGCTCCGCTTCCCCTGCTGTTAAGAGGCCGGCGTCTGATATGGGGGCCCAGGATAGAGAGTCCTACAACAGTGACGTAGAAATGGGCGAGGGTCAAATACCAGGCTCTGGGTCCGGGTTCACTCCCGTCAACCCAGACACTGTGCCTGCAGGTTCTCAAGACACCTTAAAGGCAAAGCAGCAAGACACGGGCTCGAGACATCGCGACATATTAGCGACGAATCGACTGATTCACAACAGTGATCCTCGCGCTGTCCAACAAAGCGCCGCGGCTTCTTTGTCTGATAATAGTGGCAGTTCTACCACAGATTCCCTTTTCCCTAGCCCCTCTAACCGTTCTACCGCAGCCACGTCGCTGGACGCTGATGTCCCATCCACTGCTACGTCCATACCCTCCATCGACGACCAAATCGCACAAGTGACGGCCCTGTGGCAGAAAGAGCTGGAGGAAGGCCAAAAAGGTTACCTCATCTCTGCAAAATGGTTTCAGAAAGTCCAAGCCCGTGGCTCTCTTCCCGCTGACGTGGGAAAGATTGAAAAATCAGCGACAGAGGGTGAAATTGGACCCGTTGACAATTCGGACATTGCCATGGTGATTGACGAGGATGTCAAGTTGACGGATGAAGCTGGCGAGAAATATGTGCCCCTCCGGCCCGGCCTCACCCTCGATGAGGACTATCGAGTCTTTCCCCAGGAAGCATGGGACTTGATAATCTCATGGTACGGGCTCGCAAAAGACTCCCCTGTCATCACTAGATATGCACACGATTGGGGTGGTGCAGACGCAGCAATGCCGAACGTGACGTGGGAGCTGAATCCGCCACTGTTTTCATTCCTCAAGGTGCCTAGTGAGCACACCACACAGACTCAACGCGAGAAGGACCTCCCACCTCAACGTATGATTGCAAGCAAGAAGACACTGTGCAATGACTGGCTCAAGGAGGGCAAGAGGCTCCTGCACATCGACATGAACACCAAAGTCAGAGTGTGGAGGATCCTGGGAGGCCTGAAAAATGCCACCGCTTCGGGTGGTCTCACTCCCTCCGCTTCCAGAAGTGTCTCTCCAGCCCCTGGTACTGAAATTGTGGCCACCGCGGGAGATAAAATGCTTCTTGATGTCAACACCTTCATACATCTTCAAATAGGCGAGCACCGTGAGCTCCTCACCGAGATCAAGGACAACACTGCAAATCCTAATTACAATGGAAAGACGTTGACGTTGAGCCTTGTTGGTCTGGGCAGGAATGAGGAAGTGATCGTCCTCGAGGAACAAAAGTCTGGCAAGGACGAATGGCCAAGCGAAAGCTCCAAACTCAACCTGACCAAAGGCATTAAGAGCGCAGCTAAAAACCTCACACCTAGTGGCAGATCCAGCCCAGCTCCGGGAATGATGACTAGGGGACGGCAGAAACGGGATGGAAGGCCACGCGGCATCACTGGACTCAGCAACTTGGGAAATACATGCTACATGAATTCGGCTTTACAATGCATCCGCAGTGTTGAGGAGTTGACGCAGTTCTTCCTGCATGACCAATGGAAGCAGGACCTTAACGTGGACAACCCTCTTGGTCACCATGGCGAGATTGCAAAAGCATATGCCAACCTGCTGCACCAGATTTACGACGAGAACGCCTCTTCGACGAATCCAAGCAGATTCAAGGCCACAATCGGAAAATATGGGTCCAGCTTCTCCGGATATCAACAACAAGACTCTCAGGAGTTTCTGTTATTCCTTCTTGACGGCCTTCAGGAAGACTTGAACCGCATCCACAAGAAACCGTACATCGAAAAACCGGACTCTACGGATGAAATGGTGCACGATAGTGCGGCCCTTCAAGCATTCGCTCAGAAGAACTGGGAAATCTATAAGGCACGAAATGACTCTGTCGTTACAGATCTTTTTGCGGGAATGTACAAATCGACCTTGACCTGCCCGGTCTGTAACAAAGTCAGCATTATTTTTGACCCTTTCAACAATTTAACTCTGCAACTGCCCATTGAGAACAACTGGCAGAAAGAGATCCTGTACTTTCCGCTCCACAAACGACCAGTTCGGATCGACGTAGACATTGACAAACATTCAACCATCAAAGCCTTGAAGGAATTTGTGGCTTTGAGGACACATGCCGATGTGGAACGACTGCTTGTTGCCGAGTCTTACAAGAACAAGATTTACAAAATTTTTGATAACAACGTCGTCATCTCAGAAGCAAACATCCAAACTAGCGACATCATCTGCATGTACGAACTGGAATCCGTCCCGACCAATTACAATCCAAACAAGGCGCGGAAATTCAGCTTGTACATGACCAAATCTGATGCAGACGATGAAATGGTTGAAGCAGACAGCCCTGAGGCAGACCGGCTCCTAGTACCAATGTATAACCGGCTTGTCAAGAATCCTTCTGCGCGGGTGTCCTCAAAACCCTTCTTTGGCCAACCTACGTACCTTGTGCTGAGTCGCGAAGACAGGTCCACCTACGACGGTGTGATGAAGAAAATTCTGGGAAATATTACGGGGATGACAACAAAGAGGATACATGACGAAGAGGATAGCCCCTCAGACGATGGGCTGGGGACACCAGAAGGCTCCGACACCATGGTGATGACCGATGACATGTCCAGTTCTGGCTCGGGTCTTCCAACTGCCACCTCTGTGCAGGGTGAAGATGGCCTCGTAGATGTGTCCATGCGAGATGCTAGTCAAGCTCCTGAGCTCAGGCCCCAGCCCACCGAGGCTGGTCTGCAGAAATTACTGCTGTCAAAGTCGCCAGTTCCCCGCCGATTCCAGCAACTTTTCGATGTTCAGGTCACTTCTACTGGGGAGGGCATCCCTACGGGCTGGAATCAAATCTCTGAGACTGGAGAATATGAGTCTATCAAAAATCGAATTCCTAAGCCAGTATCTCGGTCGATGAAGCCGGCTGGTGGTCTTGGTCTTTCGAATGGCGAGAGTGGTTCTACAGAGAGTGAGGATGAGCTTGCGGACATCGAGACTGATGACACTCCTATGGACAGCAACGAGTCCGGGTCGGAGGCCAGTCCGGTCTTTCCCTCTGGACCCGACTCGGAATCCGAGCTTCAAGAACCCCAAGAGATCCTGCCCAGTCGGAACAAGAAAGCGCACAAGTACGGCAAAAATAAGAACAGAGGCAAATTCTCGGCCAGACGCACACAACACCGTCGATCACCTTTACCACCTCCTCAGCCGTTGCCCAAAGCCCAGACCGGAGATCTTATCCGACCAGGCGAAGCCATCATCCTTGACTGGAGCCAAGACGGCTATGATGCATTATTTGGTGGCAGTGAGGACGGTAGCGAGGGTTATCGCGGGCTTCCGACATGGAAGAGCGTGGGCCTTTTGCCTGATCCGGAAACTGCGGCAAAACGTGAGCAGCGAAACAGCCGCAAAAAGCATGGAATCACATTAGTAGACTGTCTGAACGAATTTGGCAAATCCGAAACCCTGTCTGAACAGAATGCCTGGTATTGTCCTCGATGCAAAGAGCACCGCCGAGCCGATAAAATGTTTGAGTTATGGAAAGCGCCCGACATCCTTGTTATGCACCTGAAGCGGTTCAGTTCTAACAGAAACTTCCGCGACAAGCTTGAAGTGAGGGTTGATTATCCCATAGAAGGGCTTGATCTTTCAGAAATGGTGAGAGACCAGCAAGACGGCAAGAGCTTGATCTATGACTTGATCGCGGTTGATAACCATTACGGTGGCTTGGGAGGCGGGCATTACACGGCGTACGCGAAGAACTTTTACAACAACAGCTGGTACGAATACAATGGTGAGTTACTCAAATTCCATGTTCCCGGATCCGCTGCTGACCGGTCTAGACTCTCATGTCTCATCAAAGACGGACCCAAGATCGGTCGTGACCAGTGCCGCGTACCTCCTGTTCTACCGTCGACGGTCGGATCACCCTTTAGGTGGACCCAGGCTTCAGGAACTGCTACAAGAATCCAATTCCAACACCAACGATGCCGCAGCCGACTCTGAGCTGCCACAAGACTCACGTGATTCTTCTCCGATGACGGGGGAAGGTCGGCGTCTCGGCGACTCCTCCCACAATGGGTCGTCGAGCGCTTTTCCAGTCGGTCACGGTCACCGCGTGGGAGCGGGACCGGGTGGCTCGGCGCTGGGAGAAGGAAGTCAGCAGAGTCGAGGTCTGTTAGCCGGAACAGAAAGTCCACCGAGCTTGATGCTACCAACAGCAGCCAGTAGTGGCGGCGAATACGAGCGGCCTCCAGGCTATGATGACGCTGCGGCGGAGGCTGACATCGACGAAGGGGTCAGCATGGATTACCAGTGGTCACGGCCCACATGGGATTTTGCACGTTTAGAGACCTCGACACAGCGGGCGCCGGCCAATTCCGAAGAGGAGGGCATGTTTGGCGACAAGGGCAGTTCCAATGACAGCACGCGCGTCGAAGGTAACCATGGCAGCCCAGCACCAAGCTTCACAGATTTAGAGGACAACGGTTCGATCCATCACGACCCAAATGACAACGATCTCCCTCTGTACAGCAGTGAAGCTGGGCCTGTCATGCACCATGAAGACTTTGCACACCCTCGTGGCGCTAGAGAGAGCGCCCCTCCTCCTGACGAGATCGCGTCTGGACGTGGGATGTCAATGCCGGTGAATATGAGCCTACAGGATGACAACGATGATGTCGACGATCCGCCGGTCATGGAGTTGCAGGCAGACCCGGCGAACAATAACGAGTTGAGGTTCAATCCTGCAACTTGATATTGAGAGCTGAGAGACGGCTAAATTCTTTGGGGGTCCATGGGTATTGGCGTTGTGGTTGAGATGATTCATTGACTGGGCAGAAGCTCGTTCCATGTCGATACATAGGCTGCTTTTGAATGGGCTCGGCAGTCAGTCGGCATCAAAAGAACAGGCCAAAAGGGAGCCGCATGGAAAAGGCATGGGATAATCAGGGGGGCATTTGCGGCTCCCCTCGAAAATGAGGTCTATCAAACCATTATCAAAGTGCGAACAAGGCGTGGGACAAAGTGGTTGCAGATGGTGTGCAGCAAGATTTTGCAGAAATAGAATACAAACCTGCACAATGATGAAGTGAGATGAACAAGACAAAGATGGTGGGGAAGACGGCGCAGGTGAGAAGGCCGGCGAGGCTGAAGGTGTTTCAATGTTTGATCTGGTGGAAGGCCAGACAGACATCGGCAACTAACTTGAATTACTAGAGCCGACGCGATGAGGTTGGGAGATGGCCGCAGACTCTTTATACGGAAGACCATCTCACTATATCAAAACTTATCGGATGTTCGCTCCCTCTGATTGCCATCGTCGTACCTACCTATTCCGTGGCTGTCTGCCTACGTGGTCTCCCAAACCTGAACTGACTCACCCGCAGGTGAGCAGTTGCTGAGATGCCTGACACACAATGCCCTCCTCGCTACCATCCAGTTGCTTGCCCTCTGCCGTGTACAAAACAATCCATCTCACGCTCTGGTTCAGCATTCAGTAATGACTTGAGTTGCATTCCAAACCTGCGAGCCGACAAGCCCCCAAACCTAGCCTCAGAAGTACGCAGTCTGTCCACCAGCGGGAACATGCGATGAGTGCCCGAGCCATCTCAGCCTCTACCTTCCAGACATGGCAGCGACTTAGATTCTATACGAGAAAGGAACACTCCTGCCCTCGAAGATGGGCGCAGCCTTCCCCTACCTTTGCGATTGTAGGCAAATTTTGCAAGAGAAGGCCTTGTATGATGAGTGGATCAGGCAGAGAAGAAGTCCTTCGAATTTGCTGCGTCCGCATTGAACGGCAATGGATTGAAAGAGTGCGGCGGTCGTCGGTCGAAACGGATCCTCGCCGTCCTTTACCTTCACATCGCCAGACTATGTGGTATTGCTGCAGGTAGTTTGAATTTATGGGAACATACATCACTCATCAGTTGCCAGAGGGTTATGCTGTTCTGTCAAAAGCTGATGGAAGGTATTAAGTTTACAAATTCATCAGCAAGTTACAGATAGAGGAGACACACCCTCCACCGTGAAGACCAGAGGTCAGCCAAGTGTCACCACGTAAACTCAAGAATGTCCTTGTCGAGCCCCGTTAACAGTGTTTGAAGTACCCTCGTTCACCACAAGCCTGGAGTTTTACAGACCTCAAGTGGGATTATTCCGGCCAAGCACTGAATTGACATCTCCAAAATGCAGTTCTGATCTTGTCCAGCCAGCAGGAAACCTATGTACAAGGCTTCCATGCACCCCAGGTATGTCTGTCCCACTGGTGGCTGCTGTTCCCAGAAATGAGCCCCACAGTGTGTTGTGTGGTTCCTATTCATGGGCGACATATCTGCTTTCTCGCTACTGAGAACGGTGACCTGGAAATGGCAACGGGAACAGCGAGTCATCGTGTGACAGTGTTGAACCCTCTCTGCCCAAATGACTTCTCGCAGCCCTGAAGTCTCTACAAATGGAAGGCAAGTGGAGAACCTCCGCATTTTTCTGCAACCAACGGGTGGATTTGCCCCAGATTTCCCCGACCCTTTTGTCCAACTGTCCCTTGGATATCCACCCGTGCACAGCGGAGGGAACCAGCTTCTGGTGAGAAATGCCCGTACCAAGTACGCAAGGCTTGTCTGGCGTCTCCACTAACAGACTATGATCGATACAGATCCTGACAAATGTCGCCTGCGGTACGCCACCGAAAACTCACTAAACCCCAACCATCCTATACCAGCGCACCTTTCATGCTCTCTTACCTTGGCCGTCCTTGGTCACAACTCGATCACCACAAGATGACTCGACCTCGTGTTGCTCTACCGCACACCCGTGGGACCATCTCAATCGAGGCATGTGGAGTGTGGAGTGGAAGGTATGGAGAAAAGTTGGGGCTGTCGCAGTCTGCTCAGTAAGTATATAACTTGTCTCCTCTTCTATACTCGTGAGACCCTGGAAGTGGCCTGTGCCCTTCTTAAGTGTGATCTTGCTGTAAATGCCTTGCCGCTGCTAAAGCGCCTGGTCACCTTGAACTTCACCCTTTCCTCCAGAAATCGAAATTGCAATAGTAGACAAGATGGGGCTCGGTGTCTTGGAAGGTTGGTACTTGTCATTACATTTTCCCTGTCGTTGGAGGCACTGCTCGACGCTGATACTTCCTCGACACAGATACCAGACTTCCGCATGTGCCGGGTACCGTACTCTTGAACGACGAAGCTGCCCATGCAGAAGCTCAGACGGCGAACCTCAAGCATGGGACCGGCAAGAACTCCCATATCGTGCTTTCTCCGCAACCAAGCGATGATCCGAATGATCCACTCAACTGGTCTCTTTTGAAGAAAGAGGCTATCATTTGGATTCTCTGCTTCGGCGCGATGTTAAACGCGGCAACGAATGTGCGCTTCCCGTTGCAGTGGTGATGTATATGTCTGCTTATTATTGATAGGGCCCTTTCTTGAACGCTTCATACTTTGCCATTGCCCAGGAAATCAACACTGATCTTACGACTACAGTCATGGTATCAGGCTACAACATTCTCGCGGCCGGTTGCGCTGGTCCTTTCGTCTGCGCATTTAGCCGTAGGTATGGCAAACGGCCTGTATTCATTGTGTCAACTCTCTTCTGCATCATCGGAACCGCAATCGGCGAAGCGAAAATAAGTTACAATTACCTCCTCGCGGCTCGAATTGTGCAGGGTTTCTCGACCAGCGCCTTTGAGTCCCTGATAGTCGCGGCCGTGGGAGATCTCTACTGCGTGCACCAGCGAGGGCTACGAATCTCGACCATCAACTTCATCCTGAACTCAGCGTCTAGTTTGGCTTCGATCATCTGCGGTCAAGTCTTCAACGACCTGGGTCTTCTCTGGCTTTTTCACCTTTTCCAGATATTCCTGGTTGTTCAGTTCGTCCTCATGTTCCTCTTCGTCCCGGAGACAACATATCGTCGCGAATCGATGTACGACACCGACATCGTCAGAGAAGAGACATTCGATCAGATCGAAAAAGCCCATGAAGAGCACCGTGAGCACGCTATTGGCGTCAAAGAGCTGAACGAATCCTCTGCAGGCTCCTCGCGCTACCCCCCAAAAAAGACATTTGTCCAGGAACTCAAGCTCTATAATGGCATCTTCTCCCACGACAATATTCTCAAGTGGATCTTCGGTATGTTCCTGACCCTGCTCAACCCGGCTGGATGCTACTCCATCATTGTCTCGGGTCTCCTCTGTGCTTGGTATGTCGGCTCAGCTATCATCCTCGCGGGCATCTTTGCGGGCCCACCCTGGTTGTTTGATCCTGCCCAGATTGGCTATATTGGAGCTGGGCCCTTTATCGGTGGGATGATTGGGTCCATCATTGTGGCGCTGACCGGGGATCGGGTGGTGAAGTGGATGACCATTAAGAACAGAGGCACTTAGTAAGTCTCCTCTGCTCTTCGAAGGTGGATGACAGGGTATTCATTACTGACTGAAAATAGTGAACCTGAATTCCGACTCGTATTTATGCTTCCCTGCGCAGTGTTTTCCGCCTTTGGCATGTTCTTCTTCGGCTATACCATGGCCCATGGTTCAAATGCTGTTCTCTGCGCCTTCTGTCAAGGTCTGATGATGGTCGGTGTCCTGATTGGCGTATGGTCGACAATGTCCTATGGGCTGGACGCCTTCCGTAGCCAGAGCAATGAGATGTTCGTGATGAATATGTTCTTCAAGGTAATGGTTGTTCCTTGAAATGATGGGACAGATCGCTGACAGTTGCAATACAGAACTTCATGTTTTATGGCCTTTCCAATTTCGCCAACAACTGGGTCGCTGCTAAAGGTCCTGAGGAGATTGTAAGTTTTCCATCCTTTGGCTCAACATTGTACCGTCAGAACCATACAAGTGTCCGTATAGGGGCAATGTCTGGGTGTGCCGGCCCAATCAACCCTCCTTCTGCACCTGCTATTGGGACCGAAGAGATACAAGTGCTGATGTCTTCACAGATGTTCACGTTTGGCGGAACCACCTTGGCAATGTGCATTCTTGCCATCCCCGTGTATATATTTGGCAAGAGACTAAGGAGTTGGTGGACCAGACATGATCTCTTCATCTTCTTTGGCATGCAAGCCAGCGGACCAGAGAGTCACATGGGTTGAAACTAAGGGGAGGACGAGATTGCTTCAGACGACGTTAATGAGCTGAGTGCGTCACTTACAAAGATTGCACGACGTAATGAACAGCAAGCGAGGGGCATGTGTTGATGAGTACCAGATGCGTGCAATACTATAAGTTGTCCAAATGACATGCCAAATAGTCAGGTTTAATATGTCCGTCTGCTCATGGCAATTTACGATTGATCACATTTCCGAATTTGGAATCAACTTGTTCTTGCGAAGGTGCAACGCCTGGTCCTTCAGGACGGGAGATCTGTTCGATTGACAATGAAGAGCTGATTTGGCAGTTGTGCTTCCCATTTCACTCAGGTTCTGCTGGACCAGTGGAGAGCCTTTAGAAATGGGGATTGATCGACTACGTCATTTCAAAAGCTGCGGAACTGCCATAGCGCGGCTCCTACGACATGCAAGTCGTCCTGAGGCATTAATTCATCTTTTGTACTCGTATGTGGAACTTGTAGACGGCTATATGGAGCATCGGATCAGACAGGATGACAAGGCCGGGCACCCGGAGCAGAAATGCCAAGACGTATCACGTGCGCTCCCGAAAAGGGGAGCTTGAGAAAATGGTTGCGTGGTTGTTGCTCCCTCGGGACTGCGGCAACGATACCCCAAGCGAGCCTTTGA